GGAGGATGCAGGCTGGAGCCATCAGTGTACACAGGATGCAGGCTGGAGCCATCAGTGCATGGAGGATGCAGGCTGGAGCCATCAGTGCATGGAGGATGCAGGCTGGAGCCATCAGTGTACACAGGATGCAGGCTGGAGCCATCAGTGCAACAGACCGCCATAGATCACCACCACTAGACACTGGGAGGGGCCTGTGAAAATTTCTTCCCTATGGCCTAAGCAGAAGCCAGTGCTGCCCACACATTGATCACACTATCAAAGGAAGGAGAAGGTTCTGCCACATGAAGATTTAACTTATTTTTTTTGCTCCTTAAGTTGAAACTCAATGGCAGACAAGGAATTGAGATGCTCAGTATGGTGACGGGGGTGGACCAGGGAGAGAGAGACCGGGTAGAAGATTCTGTGAATGAACATGGCTCTGCCTCAGAACTGAAGTTGCCTTTGGGATGTCAATGGTTCTGGTATCACCGCGGCTATCCCCGAAGCCTGGGGTGAGCTGAGCAGGGGAGGAAGCCAGAAGAGGCCCGGGAAGATGCAAGGTGCAGGTGCAGGGAGATGGAGGCTCATACCTGAGAACCCTGTAGTTACTGCAGCTGGAGACGCTGTGGGGTCCCGAGCTCTCGCTCATGCCATAGGTCTCGCCGATGGGGATGTCCAAGCTCAGAAAGAACTCAGAGGTCTCATGGGACAGGGGCGCGGCCCAGCTCAAGAACCAGTGGCAGTAATTGAGGCCCAGGGACCTCTTGATTTTGCGGAACACAAGTTTCTTAGCCATGTGGTAGTTCATGGAAGTGTCAGCTCTCCTGTGAAGGACAACACCAAAGGCAGCTGCCAGCCACTGGGCAGAAGTTGGGACCTCCTCACTCACCACCCTCTCAGCTCCCCGGAGCCTCCACCTACCCCAACATCTGCCTTGTGTGGACCTTTAAACCAATCATTTTGGCCCAGGGAATATCTTCTTCTTGAAGCTTGAGAACTTGGTAACATTTCCCTTTATGGTCTCCTGCAACTTCTCCCAAATTTGGGGCACCCCAAGGAAAGTGGTTGGCCTTACCTCCTTCAGAGTGCTTATCAAGGTGCCCTGTGGGGACCCAGCCAGGTTAGTCATGGCAGTGACATTCATGGACCCTAAATGTCCATCTCTCCCCGTCCACCCACCCAAGGCAGCCAGAGAACCCTCCTTTCACTGATTGGACCAGGGAGGGGGCCCAACCCAAGGTAGCCAACCCATTGGCTGGCTGGCAGCCAGTCAGATTTTTGTATTACCTCTAGGGATTTGATGGGGTGCAGCAACTGATATTTTTGGAAGGTAATGTTGAAAATACTATCAACTTTTTAATTAAAAAAAATTTTTGGTGGTAATAGATTGAACCCAGGGCCTTCACACTGAGCTACATCCCCATCCCTTTTTTAATTTTTTGTTTGTTTTGTTTGTTTGTTTTGGGGTTTTTTGGTACCAGAGATTGAAGTCAGGTCCTTGCGCTTGCGCAGCAGGTGGCGAAACCACTGAGCTAAATCCCCAGCCCTAAATTTTTTGTTTTGACACAGGGCCTCCCTAATTTTCCAAGTAGCCCAGGCTGGGCTCAAATTTACAATCCTCCTGCTTTGACCTCCCAGAATGCTAGAATTACAGGTGTGTGCCACCACACTCAAGTACTATCAATGTTTTAAGGGTAAGCCAGCAACTTTAGTTCTGTGGATGAAGGGATTTAGCTGAATGAAAGACATGAATATACGGAGAAATGCAAACAAGTTGTTTTATAATGGAATGAAAACAACTTATATGTTAGACAATTGGAGACTGGTAAAGAAATTATCTAACCACATGTGGAATATTATGCAACTGTTAAAAGGGGGCAAGATTCTCCTCCAAATTGACTTATAAATTTAATGCAATCCTGGATGTGAAACCTAGGCAGACTCTGTCATACAAAATGACAAGCTGATCTGAATTTTTTTTGTGTGCCTCCTATTAACAGGTGACAGAACCCAGGGCCTCATACATACAAGGCAAGGACTCTACCACTGAGCTAAGCCCCGGTCCTTTCTATTTTTTAAGACAGCATCTTACTAAGTTGTCCAGGCCAGCCTTGAACTTGTGATCCCCCTGCCTCAGCCTCCTGAGTAGCTGGGATGGCAGGCATGTGCTACCACACTGGCTTAATCTTTTTTTTTTTTGGTACTGGGGATCGAACTCAGAACCTTGCACTTTCGAGGAAGGTGGTACAACCACTGAGCTAAATCCCTGGCCCTACACTGGCTTAATCTTAAGCTTTATAGAGAGATGGAGAAGCCCTAGAATAGCCAAAGCAATTGTAGCAAAGAATGAAAAAAAATGAGAGGAGTTACTACCTGTCTCCAAAACTTATTATAAAGTAGGATGGTAAACAGGTCTGGTTTTACTAGTACTGCAGGGGTTCCTGAAAAGTGAGGTTTTCCCTTTTTAAAGGTGATCAAGTCCAAGGACACAGGGGTAAGTTGAGCTAAAATCAGCATAATCAGCCAGGCGTGGTGGTACACACCTGCACTCCCAGCATGTGGGAGGCTGAGGGAGGAGGACTGCCCTGAGTTCAAGGGCAGCCTGGACAACCTAGCAACTAGGTGAGATGGGCACAGTGGCATATGCCAGTAATCCCAGCTACTCAGGAGGCTCAGGCAGGAGGATCACAAGTTTGAGGCCAATCTGGGCAACTTAGTGAGACCCTGTTTCAAAATTAAAAATAAAAGGCCTGGGGATGTAGCTCAGTGGTAGAGTAGTCCTAGGTTCCATTCCCAATACCAAAAGGAAAAGGAAAAAGAAAAAGAAAAGGTGGTATCACATATTTTAAAAAATGGAGGTGAACACCAAAGAAAAAAATCTTAAATATCTGAAAGAGCTGGGTGTGGTGGTGCACTATCATCCCAGCATTCCGGAGGCTGAGGCAGGAGGTTTGCCGGGAGTTTGAGCCTAGCCTGGGCTACATAGAGAGACTTCATCTCAAAAAAACCCCTCAAAACCCAGCAAATGCCTGTAATCCCAGCACTTGGGAGGCTGAGGCAGGAGGACCACCATGAGTTCGACACCAGCCTGGGCTACACAGAGTTCAAGCCAGCCTGAACTGCATAGTGAGACCCTGTCTCAAACAAAGCAAAACAAATAACAGAAAAACCCCATGCCTAAAACAGCATCTGTGGAATACTCGCCCCATGGGCCTCAGCGGTGGGGCCTCCCTCAGCCTCACCTTGAGCACGTCTGGCTGTGCAAAGTGCGTGAGCCCCCCAATCTTCATGGGGATCCAGGGAGCCCTACAGCCTGCACCACAGCCCCAGCTGTCCACGTGACCTGGAACACAGGGACAGCCTAGTGACCGTCCTCGCCCTCGGGCGGCACATGCAGGCTGTGTTCACATAGTGAGCACCTACCAACACCTATGTGTGCAGGTAGCGCTCTCCAACGCCAAACCTCTGGCTTTTTTTTTTGTTTATTTTCACAGTACTAGGATGGAACTCAGGACTTTCCACTGAGCTCCATCCCCAACCCTTTTGTATTTTTGGAGACGCAGTCTCGATAAATCACTAAGTTGCCCGGGATGTGCTCAGCTTTTGAGATCCTCCTGCCTCAGCCTGCCAGAGCACTGCGATGACAGGTGTGTGCCACCGTTCCCAGCTCGAAGACTTATTTCTGCATGGCACACCCGGCATGCCTGATTCTTTTACAGCTGTGATCAAATCACCCTTGCACTCCACCACCTCCTTTGAAGCCACTCCTCGACTCTCTACCCCAATGGCTAAGGACCCACACTCGCTCTGTGCTACACCCCTAAACACCACCCTGCTCCTGGGGACTGCACTAGTCAGCCCTGCAATACTGGAACAAAGTACAATTTAAAGGAGAAGAGGTTTATTTTGGCTCATGGTTTCAGGGAGTTCAGTCCTTGGTCAGCTAGCTTCAAGGCAGAAACATCATGGCAGAAGGGCCTGGTGGACCATTAAGAGAAATCCAGATTAAATCCACACTGAGATTCCATCTTACCACCGAAAGAACAGCCAACATCAAGAAATCAAATACCAACAAATGCCATTAAGGATGTGAAGAAAAAGGAACCTGTCTACACTGTTGGTAGGAATGTAAACTAGTAACAACCACTATGAAAATCAGTATGGAGATTCCTCAAAAAACTAAAACTAGAAATTTGATTTGACCTAGCTATTCTCCTTCTAGGTATCTTCCTGAAAAGAGTTGAAGATGTCATATTACGATGATCCATGCACACCCATGTTCATAGCAGCACAACTCTTATAATAGCTAAATCTTGGAAGCAGCCTCTGTGTGCTTCAAGAGATGAATAAAGAAAATGTGTTATTTACATACAATGGAGTACTACTCAACCACAAAGAAAGATAAATGTGAGTCATTTGTAGGAAAATGAATACACTTTGAGACCATAATGTTAAGTGAAATAAATCAGACACACAAGCTTAAATATCACATGGTTTCTCTTATATGAGAAACCTGAAATATAAATAAAGAGCGAAATAAAAGATAGGTAACAGGAAGTAGAGAGATAGATCTTTCTCCAGTGGAAAGGGGATTGGGAGATGGAGGAAGGGTGAGAGAGGGGAGGGAAAGGGGATTTTATAAAGGAATAAGAGGGGCTGGGAATTTAGCTCAGTGTTACTGCACCTGCCTTGCAAGCGCAAGGTCCTGAGTTCAATCCCCAGTACCATTAAAAAAAAAAAAAGGAATTAAGATGTGTTATGTAGGTGTGCCAACTCCTCACAGGAATGCAGACATTATGCATGGCTAACGTGTATTAATAAAAATAAAAGAGAAGGGTGCAGCAGAGCAAAGCTGCTCACCACGTGGCAGCCAGGAAGCAGAAGGGGGAAGGGACCAACGACCAGATAGAGTCCCCAAGGTCACACTGGTGTGACCTACCCAGACGCATCTGGAAGTGTGCTTGGTTTGCACACCTCCTAGGCATCTCCCAAGCCAGTCAGGTTGAGGGTCAAGATCCACCAACCCAGGGACAGGAGCAGACTTTGCTTACATTGTCATGACTAAGCATCACGGCCTTGGGGTCGCCCACAGTCCCGGAAGTGTAGATGAGTACTGCACACTGATTCACTTTCTGGCTCTTGATGATCTGATCCAGCTGCGTGTCAGGAACGCTGTTGTCAAGTTCCATGAAATCATCCCACTGTGGACAAAAAAAGGCAGATACTATTGTGTACTGCCTTCCCCAGTTCAGCCTCACCCTCTATTTCTTAGCTGCTGATTGGATGGGGCTAACTGCACCCCAGCTCCAGGGATCCACTCTGATTGGATGAAGCCAGAATATTCCATCAACATGGGTCACAGGGGTTGGATAGGGTCTGAGCAAGTGACTTGAAGTGGTCCAATCACAGAGAAGATGAAGACTTTAGCTGGGAATTCTAGGACATAGAATGGAGGTGAAAGAGCCAAGATGTAGCTCCAGAACATGCTGAATCATCTCAGGATTATGAGACAAAGCAAGGCTAGAGTGGATCCATGAAACCAAGAGAGCAAAATTGAGCCCAAGGAACATTTATTAAGCACCTGGTTCCTATGATTGCCTGAAATCCATATGCTGAGTTGTAACTCCCTGGGCCAAACGGATTATCCTCTTTTGCTTAAGATATTTGGAATCAAGCTTTTGTCACTAGCAACCAGTGGGAACCTTGCTAATAACAGGTGTGTCCTCTCCCCCACTGTGTCCAAGGCCACATAGCAAATAAACTGAGAAGGTGCAAACAAACCAAGATGTTGTGACTGCAGTCTGTGCTACCATGAATTTGTTGCCTCAAAGTGAACACTAAGCGAGACCTGAAGAATTTCTACCACCAAGACCCCAACAAGGCACCGGGTGAGGGGACACACTGACTTCAAGATGAAAGATCTTCTGAGTTCTTCAGAAATGGCCAGTGCTGTTCAGGCCATTCTGAGCAGGCAGCTCCAGGTCACCTCTAGCACTTTAGGGGAAGGGGGTCCTTGTCCCTTAGTGACAGATGTCCAGTCCCCTCCCCCAAGGCTGCTTCCTAACAGCTGGCAGAAGACCGCTCTCCCAGGGCAAGTGGATTTGGGGCAGGTACCAGACCCGAGCTGGGCCAGTCCTATCCTCTTTCTTGGGAACCCGAGACCAGTCCCTTTTGCCGGGTACTGAGATGCCAAGCATTGCGATCTGCCCGGTTAAACGACTTATTCTGCCTTTTTTTTTTTTTTGGTACGAGGGATCAAACTCAGGACCTTGTGCTTGTGAGGCAGGCGGTGGAACTACTGAGCTAAATCCCTGGCCCCTTATTCTGCCATTTTTATCCCCAAATTTCATGTTTGAGTTCATACGTAGCTCTCAGTCCTAATGAATGTGTTTCCAAACGGAATTTTAAAACTTTCCGGTCTACCCACCCTTGCAGAGAAGTAGATGCTGTTCGATGTCACAAAACTGTTCCCAGTAAATCAGTGTCCTCAACCCAGAGTGATTCTGCCCCCCTGGGGATCTGGAGCAACTTCTGGAGCCAGTTTTGGTTGTGTCAGTAGAGAGGTGATACTGCCACCTAGCGGGTGGAGGCCAGGGATGCCGCTCAGCACCCTGCAATGCCTAGGACCCGGCTTTCAAACCAAGAATCGTTGTTCGGTCAGGAGGGAGGTGGAGAAACCCGGTTGTCAGGTGTTTTTGTTTGTTTGCTATTTGCAGTGCAGGAGATCGAACCCAGCGAGGCTGTACACTTGAGCTCCATCCCTAGTCCTTTTTATTTTTTTTAAATTTTGAGACAGGGTCTCACTAAGTCGCTAAGTTCCCCAGGGTGGGCTTGAACTTGAGATCTTCCTTCCTGCCTCAGCCTGAGCATCAGGGATCACAGGTATGGCTCTGTCAGGGCTATTTCTAACCAAGAAAGCTTTCAAATTATCCATGATTTAAAAGGCTGTTGATATGGTTGGAACCTCTAAAATACCTGTAATTCTGATCAGTTGCCTAATTAGTCCTCATCCTAGTGTTAATATATAAATGGACATTTCTGAAGCTAGTGGTGCACAGTGGTGCACGCTGGTAATGGCAGTAGTCGGGAGGCTGAAGCAGGAGGATTACTGTGAGTTCAAGGCCAGCCTGGATTACAGAGAAAGATCTTGTCTCAAAAACAATGAACAAACAAAAACAAAAAGACATCCCACACTGAACCCCATAATATGTACAGTTCTGTATCAATTAAAAAGAAATACATAAATAAATGGAACTTGTTGCCTTACAAGCCTCTTTCCCCAGCTTTTTTTTTTTTTTGTACCAGGGATCAAACTCAGGACCTTGCACTTGCAAGTGGCACTGAGCTAAGTCCCCGGCCACCACACATGGCTTGAAATTATTTCCTTAAGTGATCCTTTTCTGTCGTCCCCAATACATTGTCCCTGTTTGTTCTTAGAGAAACACTCTGGAAAGGTGGTGGTAGGTGTCTGAGGGCCTCCTTCCTCCCCTGAATCTGACTTAATATGAGTTTTCTGCCGCTGGAATATGCTCCACACCTGCCTCAGTGCTGTAGGCTCGTGGTATATTTGGGTCTCCCATGCATAGCGCAGTACCTGAACTATTTCTGTCTCCGAGTTCAAGAAAAGTGGAATCTGTGGGGGATTCAGTGTTTCAGCTGCTCTGTCTGAAAATTTCAAAACCAGGTTCGAAAGTGGCTGTCAGGCTGCGCTTGGAGATCTTTGCTTTGGGGTCGGAATCATAGCTCCTCTCTGCTTATATCCTCCCACCCTCGGAAGGCTCCCTGTGTTCCTTAGAATAAGTTCCGGACTCTTTGCCTTTGCCTCCAATCCTCCTCCCCATTCTTTCCGGCCGCCTCCCTTACCCAGCTCTCTAGGTGCTGCTCCAGCCATCCCGAGCTTATTCCAGTCGCCAGACACTACCAGCTACTGCTGGCTCCAGGCTTTTTGAAGGTCTGTTCCTTCCCCCTGGAAAACTCTTGCCCCAGGTTCTCTACCAACTTGTGCCATCTTTTCTCCACCCATGACAGAGCCGTGGCCATACTCTGCATAATGGATATCAGAAGTGCCCTTTTCATTGGGTTGGCTAGAAATGTTCTAGAGCTGCCCTCCTCCTTTTGCATAAACGGGGTATGAGGACCCCAGCAGTCACCTGACCCTCACAGGCTGGGTGTGGGGAGAGGGTTCGCAATGTGTCAGGTCCCAGGCATCTTTGAATTGCCTGAGTCCAACTAGAAGTTTAGCCAGACCTTGGCTGTATAGCGCAAAGTGCCAGAAGACAGCAAGCTGGAAAGTCCTTTAGCTCAAGGTCTGCATTCAGTGTAGCAGAATTCGGTCAGAGATGTGTGGCTCTGGAGATTGCTGCTGTCCTCTACCTTTGACTGTCAAAGGCCACAGAGAATCTCTAGTCCCCAAATCAGGTCTTTTCTGGTCAGTCAAGATGAAGAGCTTCTTTACATTTTAAAGTTTATGTTGGATAGCAATTTTCTTTTGCTTTAGGCTGAACTGTCTGATGAGTTATCTTTGTGCATAGTGATATATGGTCCCCTCCCCCTCTCTTCCTGTACTGTCTTTGTATGGATACTGGAGAGATGTTTCCGGTGTCTCACATGCATTTGAATGAACCTCGGTTTCCACAATCAGCTTTCGGTAGGAAGTTTCTGATGGAAAGGACAGTACTTGGGAGAAGCCTAGGTGGCCAGATTCATCATTCAGCTTGACAGCAACTGTGACCATTTCCTTAATACCCTATGTCAATGATGGTGAACCTTTCGGAGCTTTCAACGATAAAAACAGTCCTTGGTGGCATGCGTGCCAGAGGCCACCACCCCTGCCCTATGTCACTGCCCTAAGCCACATATGTCTTCACTTTGTAGCATCTTCAGAGAAGAAATACATCTTGCTATTGATGGCATCCTCTGGTCACAGCTGGTCTTGATGTCCCTGGTCTTGTCACCTCTGAAATGAGGGCACATTGTCCACACTTAATGAAATCCTAGCTAGACTGATTGAAATTCCAACACTTTGTGTCACCAGGTTTCCTGTGACTCCTCATTCCTGACCTGCTTGAGGGAGAACAGACTTCTACTCTATCTCTTGCCTTCAGCTTTTTGAAATTACTTTTATTTTTCAGTACTAAGGATTGAACCCATGTAGGGAACAGGGAAAGGGGATGTTACTAGAACCTCTGCAGTAAGTCCTAATCTCCTGCGAGCCATGGCAGCGCAAGGCGAATTAACTTAATATACAGGAAAGGTAGAAAAAAATGAGACTTTGAGAAGAAGCTGAGCTTTGGGCCTGATCAGTGCTGCTCTGGGCGGCAAAGCCGAAGGCCCCCCCACTCCCCAGCCCCCAGCCCCCAGCCCCCAGCTTGCTGCACCTTTTATTCAGTACATCAGGAGAAAGAAATGTAACGGATGACTCAGGACACAGAGTTCAGTACATCGGGAGAAACAAATGTAATGGATGACTGGGGGGTGGCAGAAATCCTAGAACAATGAGGAACTATGCAGATGAAGATTTTGTTCCTCCAGGGATGTCCTCAGCTGGTGTAATCTTGCCCCGGAGCATCACAGCATCACCAGACCATTGAGGTCTTAGCTGTGACTGGAGGCCAAAATGGAGTTCTGTCTCAACATGCCATAGCTGGCCTGCAGGCAGGAGAACTAGGCCTAATCAAATGATTTTCCCCCAAGTTATGTAGAATTGCTCCTAACAAAGCCAGAGCCTTTGTACTGTGAGACCTGAGTAACTCCATTTTAAAATTTGGACCCATCTTAGAGTAAGGTGGCCTGGACATAAATTCTAGTTCCAAGAAAAACCACAAGATGTACTTTGGCCACCTGCCTTTGATAATGTTCAGCAGTCCCCTAGCAACTAGCCTAGCAACAGCTAATCAGTAGCTGCCTCAAAGTCCCAGATGCTCTTCTCATGGCCTGCGACAGCTAATCAGTAGTTACCCCAATACCCCAGTATCCCAGATGTTCTTTTCGATGACTTGAGCAACCGTTTGCAGTTCAGCGCGCAAGGCACAGCCAATCAGGTTTAAACTTTCAAAACTTGCTAAATGCTAGCCAATTGTGTGATTTGCATGTGATTTGAAACCCCGTGCCTTTTTGAAAACCCTGCGCCTTGCTGTAACCTCTATAAAAACCCCTGGTGTTTTAGAGTCGGGGCTCTCAATCTTGACCCGCTGTGCGGTGACAGTTGGGAGTCCCTGCTCGAGCTTGAATAAACGACCCTCATGTGTTTGCATCGGAATCGGCTCCTTGGTGGTCTTTGGGGACCTCGCGATCTGGGCACAACAGTACTGAGCTACATCCCGGGCTCTTTTTTTATTCTTATTTTGAGATAGAGTCTCACTAAGTTGCTAACTTGCCCACACTGGACTTAAACATGTGATCTTTCTGCCTCAGCCTCCTAGAATGCCGGAATTATGGGGCTAGAGACATAAAGATGAGCAGAACTGGCTGTGATCCGTTTCGAGAGACAGCAGGGAAGCCCAGACACGTGCACTTGCAGTTGTGATGAGACACCAAGGGGCAGCGAGAAGGTTCCGTCAGGGACCCGAGCCAGGCTGGGCATCAGCAATGGGTCCTCTAGCTGCGAGTTGGAGATGCAGAAAGAATATCCCTGCTGTCCCAGCCTCCAGCGCTGTCACACACGCATGCATGGCACACACACACTCACACTGCACACACACACACACACACACACACACACACACACATACAGAAAACCACATTCACTTAGGGAGAACCTGTCTGTAGTTGTCCCCCACAGGGCTCATCAATATCTGGGTGCAGCGGTGCACACCAGTCATCCCAGCTATTCAGAAGGCTGAGGCAGGAGAGGAGGATCACAAGTTCAAGCCCATCCTGGGCAAGTTACTGAGACCCTGACTCAAAATAAAAAGGGCTGGAATGTAGCTCCATGGTGAGCACTTGCCTAGCATGCGCAAGGCCCTGAGTTCCATCTCCAGCACTGGAAAGAAAAAAAGAAAGAAAGACTTAGCAAGGATGAAGATGAGTCTGCCATGTTCCTAGATGTTTTGGGGGAAGAACAACTTCCTTCCCAGCTTCCGGGAATACAGCCAGAAGCAGACTTTCTCTCCATCCTTTGGGCACACCGCATGGGGGGATGAAGTACCGGCCAGCCCTGCTCCGGAGCTTCCCTGGGGCCCCCAAACTTCTCCCTCCCTCTGCCCACTGCTGCCTCCTTGCCGTCCAGCAGTGCAGGTCCTGGGAAGGCCCCCCACCCAGGTCCTCAGGCCCCACTGTCCCTCATCTGCTTCCTGGTGACCCTGTCCACACAGGGGAGCAGCTGCTCATCGCTGGCCCCGGCTGGAGCGCAGCACGGACCCTCACTGCCATATGCCCCTCTCCTATTGTCCTGCACTGTGACCTTTCAGAGCCAGCCCCTTCCTTGAAGGAGCTCTTCCTACACAGGCCCCAGCTCCAGCCGGGTGATGGTACTTCTTCCAGCCCAGCCCTGGGGACTGATCCTAGGGCCTTGGCACTGAGTTACATCCCCAGCCCTTTTCCTTTCTTTCTCTTTTTTTAATTTTTGGTACCGGAGATTGAACTCAGGACCTTGCGCTTGCAAGGCAGGTGGCAGAACCACTGAGCTAAATCCCTAGCCCTCCTTTATTTTTTAGTTTGAGGCAGTATCTCTTTATGTCACTAGGTCATCCAAGGTGAACTCAAACTTGGAATCCTCCTGCCTCAGCCTCCCAGAGTGGTGGAATGACAAGTAATGTGCCATCAGGCCCTGGCCATTGCTTTTCTTTTAAGCAAGAAAGGAGTAAGCATAGAAACGGGATTGTATGGATGCCGCAGCTATAGAAAGAGAAGCAGACATTTGGCAAAACCCAACACAGCAAACTCCAGCAGATCCCAAAGCCCAGACCAAGTCAGTTGAAGTCCAGGGCGATTCTGGGGAAGACTTCATACTTCCATACCAGAAATGGGAAGGGAAATCTCCTGGGAGTGGGAGTCACCTGTGTGTCCTCCACTGCTACCTCTCTGGGCAGGGGGTTTTGGACCCTGCTACAGTCCCCCAAAATTCAAGAGTTCAAAATTATTTTTTGTAAATACCATGTATCAGTCAGTGCTTACTAGAAAAACATATACTATACAAGACATACAAATATATAAGAATTTACAGGATTGGCTTACAACAGCCATCCAGCGAGTCAGGTGTGGGAGAGTTCAAAAGCTCAGTCTGTGTACTGGGGATCCAAAGGACCCAGTTGAAGGCCTGGAGGTTTGTGTCATATCTGGTGCGAGTCTGCACCAGGAGGCTGAAGGCTCTGTGCTAGAAGGCTGAAGGATCAGTGCTGGAAGCTGAAGAGTCTGCACTGGAAGCCAGGAAATGACATCCAAGGTGAAGGCAAAAACTGGAGCTTCTCTGAAGCAAACAGAAGCAATCCTTCCTTCTTTATTTCCCCTTTATAGCATTCTGGTGATAATCCTAAGGTGGGTCTTCCATATTCAGAACTATGCTGAGCCAATTTAGTTACTCACTACTTACTCAAATTGACAGAATCAACTATCACAGACCTCCGAAACAATGCTCTAATCCACTTTTTAAAAGAATCAGTTTGCACCCCGGCATAAGAAATTATATATAAAATTATATATAAATTATATATAAATCCATTACCAATAAAATTTAGAGATTCCCTAATCATTATAATTCAAGAATTTTAACAGTTTTAATTACAACTTCTGGTTTAGGTTACAACATTGTCATAAATGTTAGATAGAATTCACTGATGAACTCTTTTAACGTGTCAGGATATTGTCCATTGCTTTATAAGGGAATGTTAAGATTAAATTTGTAGTGACTTTCAAACACTCTTTTTCTGACATATATATTTATAGGACTGTATAAAATTTTGTTTAAAAGTGGGTTCCATTACCAGTAAGTTTTCCAACTATTGTTCTGTTAAATACATAACAATGAACTGTCTTCAATATCAATCACTCAATTGTCTGATCTTTTTTATTAGGACATAATTCACATACAAAATCTACCCTTTAAAGTTGTGCAATTCAGTCACTTCTACATTCACAAAGTTGTGCATCAATCACCACTAATTCCTGCTTATCTTCTAATTATTTTAAAAAATGGGAAAATGAAAATGTTCTTTTATACAAGGTGAAGTCCATTGTTTCAAAATGATAACAATTTATCAACACAAGTAATCAGTTTTCACACAGTTTCAATAACAGCAGCAATTTCCTTGAACTGTCTGTAGAAATTCTGAAACTGTGGAATTGTCATTTCAAAAGATTTGTTCTTTACTTGACCTGAATGATCTGCCACTTTTAGCACCACTGTAATGTAAGGATATTTAAGAGATCTGCAACTGTTGGAGCTCACAGCCATACCCAGTTTCCACTGAAAATCTATAAGCTGGTTGGTGACCTCGGATTTAGCATCCAGCATCGGCTCCCTAAGTCCGGGCCCATCCATGGCAATACTCCAGATTTGCTCATGGATTCCAAGAGTTCAAAATTAATGATGTTCATGGGCCAGGGATTTAGCTCAGTGATTCCGTCGCCTGCCTTGCAAGCGCAAGGACCCGAGTTCGATCCCTGGTACCAAAAAAAAAAAAATTAATGATGTTCATGATGGCTGGAGGTGGGGGCTTGGTGATTAGAATCGGATGAGGTCATGATGGTGGGTGTTAGGTCTCCATCACAATGACAAAATATCTGAGAAAACTTAAAAGAAAGAAAGCCAACAGTGGTGGCACATGCCTGTAATCCTAGCACTCAGGAGGCTGAAGCAGGAGGATCACTATGTGTTTGAGGCCAGGGTGTGCTGCATAATGAGTTCAAGGCCAGCCTGAACTACACAGCAAGGCTCTGTTTCTAAAAAACTGCAAAGAAAAAAGAGAAGGAGAAGAAGAAGGAAGAGGAGGAGGAGAAGGAAGAGGAGGAGGAAGAAGAGGAGGAGGAGGAGAAGGAGAGGAGGAGGAGGAGGAAGAGAAAAGATTTCAGAGGTTTGGCTCACAGTTCCAGAGGTTTCAGTCCATGGTTGGCTGCTGAAGGCAGAAACATCATGGTGGAAGGGCATGGCAGAGAAAAGTTGCTCACCTCATGGCAACCAGGAAGCAGGGAACAGGAGGAGATCCAGAGAGGATGGGTCCAGGGACCACATATCATCTGAAAGGTCATGGCCACGTGACCCACTTCCTCCCTCCAGGCTCCCCCAATAGTCCACTCAGCCACGAACTCATCAATGAGTTAAGCCACAGAGGAGGTCCGCGCCTTCACAATCACAGCAGCTCTCCAGGAGTCTCCTAATCCCCATCAAGTTGACTACCAAGATTAACCTGCCCAGTTCTGACCAATAAATGGAGTAATCCATTGAGATCAGAACCCTCATGATCCTATCACCTACCAAAGGCCATACCTCTGAACATTGTTTTACTGGGGACCAAGCTTTCAATGCATGAGTTTGGGGGGACAGGTCACATCCAAACCATACCATAAGAGGGAGAGACCCAGGCTCCAGTCTGGCTCCATGTGGTTCTGGGGTGCCCTCTGCCCTGGTCTGAGGTAGGAAGAAAGTTCTCACCAGACGCTGAATAGATACCAACCAGCACCATGCACTCAGACTTCCCAGCCCCCAGAACAGAAGCCAAATACACTTTTATGGCTTAGGAATTGCCTGGCACCAGGTGTTTTGTTATAGAACTGGAGGGCCAGTCAGAGGGACACAGGCAGCATAGGACATGAAGTGGCTGGCATGGCACGGCTGACATGGCAGACAGCTATAGAAATGATCATCTGATTACTAGAAATTGCCCTCTGTGAAAGTTTTGTAGGTGTAGAACAGTTAGTTTTAGGGGACCCGCTCACATTTGCTGGAAAATTCCCAAAACCCCACATTCACCCTTGCAACAGTTTGTCCCAGCAACAAAGGTTAAGATCCTGACTGGCCTAGAACATGCCAATCAGTGAAGACCTCACGACACTTAAACAAAGGCAGAGACCCTGAGTGCCCTGGAACCCTTTATAAGTATGGCCAGAGCAAAGATACCAGGTTGAGAAGTTCAAATTGAACTTCTGTGTCGCTTGTCACAGGGAAGCTTTACCTTGGCCTTTGTCATCTTAGGAATAAACCTCTGCTTTCTTTTCTGACTTCACTGTTCTTTGTGGAACTGACTTCTGCATTTTCCACTTGGGGGGATCTCCAAGGATGAGTCAGCTTCGCCCCACCCTTGCATTCCTCTCCAGGGTGAGGGCAAGAACCTGAGGAATGGTGGTCACACCACGGAGACCCCAGGTCCCCAGGCCCCCACCCTGACCAAACCCAACAGTGGGCTAAGAGAGACCCCAGGGCATTCGGGATGAGCTCCCAGATCTGCCAGTCTGAAGTTGGTTGGATTCCACGGATGCGTGGACCCTGTGGATGTGGCGTGGCCCCAACTGGCTACACTTGGCAGCCTTTGTTATTGAAACTTTTTGTTTCACTTCCTGGGTTTTTTTTTAACCTTTTAAACTTCTCATTCTTCCGCCCTTTCATCCCCCCCATTCTCTTCCTTCTTTTTCCTCTCTCTCTCTCTCTCTCTCTCTTTGCTTTTTCTTTTTTTCTTTTTCAGGTCTCACTGTGTAGCTCAGGTTGGCATTGAACTCACTATCTAGCTCAGGCAGGACTGTAACTCCCAGAGATCCTCCTGCCTCAGCCTCCCAAGTGTTGGGATGACAGGCGTGCGCCACCACACCTGGCTTCTTTCCTTCTTTTCATTGACAGTTGGCAGAGAACCTAAGCACAGCCATTCTCTTCCCTGCTCCCTGGTTGCCTAGCCGTGTTTAATAATACGTTTGGCTGGAGATAAAAATGTGCGCGTGCTTTTCCGAAATGTGTTTCATGTGGATTCAACCTCCGTTTGCATGGCTATCGGGGTCACGACAGTTTGCTATGGAAACGATTCCATGTTGCAGAGAATGAAGCTCCAGATGGCGAGAAAACCGTAACAGAAGTATCTCAGGTGCCGTCTACGCACAATCCACGCTTCTGAGGTCCTGTCATTGCGTAAATTATTCTTTTCTTCTGCTCTTTGGAGAGTCCATGCTTAAGCTCGAATCTCTGCCAGCCAAGAGGCTCTCATGCCATCCCTTGGCTCTTAGATGCCTGGCAGAGTTAATTAACAGTCATTAGCGACATAAACACTCCATTAGGAAAAAGCCCTTCTGGGAGGAGAAAGAAGTTCCAACAGTTGGGGAGCAAATCTCTTCGAGGGTCTGGAAAGTCCCCAGGTAGATAGTTTTATCAGGCTTCTTGTCCTCAACATAAACATCAGTGGTTTCATCAGCTAACCCTTTCCTTATAAATGGGCAGTTAACATTTTTGTTCAATTTTTATTTTTATATTTTTAGCAGAAAAATATTCTTTCATTTTATCATCGTTTTAGGCTTTCCTGGCAAACAGAAATGGAATGAAAAAGTATTGTTTGCACTTGGCAAACAGAAACAAAGACATGCAGATGAAGCCAGCATGGTGCTGCACACCTGTAATTCCAGCACTCCGAGAGGCTGAGTCAGGAGGATCCCTGTGAGTTCAGGGCCAGCCTGAGCTCCATAGTGAGTTCAAGGCCAGCCTGGACTATATAGCGAGATCCTGTCTCAAAAAACCAGAAAATAAAAAAAGACATATAGACATACAGACAACTCCATGGTATGAAAGGACCTTTAATATATGGAGAAGCCTCCCTCTTAGTGTGGTGCATAATCTTTTTTTAAAATAGTAACAGGGATTGAATCCAAGGTCTTCATACTGAGCTTCATTCCCAGCCCTTTTTATTTTTTTTTTTCGAGACAGGGTCTTATTAAGTTGCTGAGATTGGCCTTCAATTTGGAATCTTCCTATCTCAGCCTCCCAGAGTGCTGGGATGGCAGGTGTGTGCCACCACACTTGCTGTAACATATAATCATAGTTTCATATTTATTACTTTTCTGGAAATATTCTGTGCATCTGTAAGCATGTAGAAAGCACATGGAAGAGACATAGTATGTGGAAGAGTTAAGCATGTGGGTCTCAGAGCCAGGCTGTCTAGAAGGAAATTCCAGCCTTGGAGTTTATTAGCATGGAAGGGATGAATAGTCACTTCTATCAATGTTAGAGCTGAAGTGGGCTCTTTAGCAGGGTCTAAGAACCAAACGAACACCAAGCCAGATTAACAAGAGAAAAGCATACACAGTTTTTGAAATAGGGTCTCACTATGTAGCCAAGGGTGGCCTTGAATTCACTGTGTAGCTCAGGCTGGCTTCAAACTCACAGGGATCCTCCTGCCTCAGCCTCCTGAGTGCTGGGATTACAGGCTTGTGCCACCATGCCCGGCTTACTTTTTAACCAAAGAATAATACATTTGTGGAGAAATTACAGCATGAAGGAATTTTAGGTGGTGGCAGTAAATTCAAAGGCAGTCACTAGGAGATGGAAGGGGAGCTTGGATTTGGGGTGACAAGGGTTACGTCAAGGAGTTCATTCGGCTCCACCACACCCTGATTCCCAGTCCCAGTGATAGCAGCTATTTTCCCCCCTGAGATGGGGAGATGCATCTCACCCCAAAATCCATGGTGACTTCTAGCATATAGGAAAAGGCAGGTCAGACAGCTCTTTCTGTGACAGGAATTCTAGTTTGAAATAACCAGTGCACCATGTTGGGATCTGGGGGCTGGCATCTGAGCTCCAGCCCTGCACATGTGGGCAAGTGCATGACCCATTCTGCCCTCCAGGGCGGCAGCAGCCAGCAGGGTCCCCACGGGCTGGTATTCACACTCTCACGCAGGCCCCTCCTGTCGAGACTCCAATGTAACCACTGACTTCCTTCTAACAGGTAAGTGGAGTGATGGGATTACACTACGATGTCATGTCATAAAAAGACACTAAAGCACTTGCCAAAGAGCCCCTGTGGCAAGGAACTGATGTCTGAAGCTAATAGCTCTCAAGGGACTGATGTCCACCAGCAATGACACGAGTGAGCTGAGAAAAAAATCCTCCTCTGTGGGGAGGTGCTGTTTTGTAGGTATAAAGTTTCAATTATATAAGATGAATACATTCACTTGGAATTTCAGAGCTCAGAAGGCTGAGGCAGGAAGATTGTCATGAGTTCGTGGCCAGCCTGGGCTGCATAGTGAGTTCAAGACCACCTTTCACTACATAGTGAGATCTTGTCTCAGATCAGTAAACAAACAAACACTGCTATGCACTTACTTTTTTTTTTTTTTTTGGATCCAACTCAGGGATCCAACTCAGGACCTTGTGCTTGTGAGGCAGGTGCGGTGCCACTGAGCTAAATCTTCATCCCATATGCACTTACCTTTTCCTGTAATAGGTTATAGTCATTCTCCCCCAAATAGGTTCAGCTAATTCTTTTTCACTGCTGCATAATAGTCTATGTAGGATTACAGGTATGTGCCACCACATCCACTGCTGCATAATATTCGATCATTTAAGTGAGTGCCACTTTATTCATTG